TTGAGACCAGAGGCGCAGGGAGCAAATTCGGCTCCTGTTAATTTTACTTGGACGTAGTGTTATGGAAACCAAAGGTGTACCATTGTCAACACGCTGTCAACAAATCAAGTTAAGTGTTCTTTCCGAAACCCATTATCTATCATTAGTGGCCATTAATGTCATTGGGTAGGGTGATCCGGTTAGACCGCGAGGCAGCCTCAAACTAAAGGTAATTAAGCCAGGTCTTCATGTTCCATGTATAGTGTTTTCTCTGATATAGCTTGTCACATATAGAATTTGGCTTTACAGCTAGCGCCCTTTTGACAGGTCAAGACGAGGAAGCAAGACTTTGTGCACCAGTTACTGGGTGATGGAAGCTACCTCAAAGAGGATAATTTGGTGTCTACACCCTAGTTATACCTGGTGGACTAACCTACTGTACTATAAGATAAGGAACCTCTTCAATGTATGTAGTCTATTACTGTAGTTTGATTGGCTGCATATATATAAATTAATATAAACCCCCCTTAATGTGTAGAGGATCGATTTGTGAGATTAAGAGATTATTGCAGAAATACAGTCCACTAATCATTATACAAATTGCTATCGAAGTATATAAATTAACGTAAATATAAATTCATATAAATTAAATAAATATAAATCTCACAGGTCGGTTCCCACATTGTGTACATACAAAAGAATGGGGGTGGTAGGAGAAGATAATATTAGTGTTCAGTGAGAAACCACAAGGTCTCCTCTGAATACTTTATATTTTCTTCTCCGAGGCTATGGGTCCCCACATTGGCACCAGAGGTGGTACCCTCACAAACTTTTATTTATATATATATATATATATATATATATATATATATATATATATATATATATATATATATATATATATATATATGCGAACAAGCCAGAATGGTCCCCAGGACTATATGCAACTGAAAACTCACACCCCAGAAGTGACTCGAACCCATACTGCCAGGAGCAATGGAACTGGTATTTACAGGACGCCTTAATCCGCTTGACCATCACGACCGGACATAAGGAAGTGATAGCTGAAGCTATTTGAACCACTTCCTCGCCGGCACTCGGATGGTAATCTTGGGCATAGCATTTTATCAAATCACCTCATTTTTGGGGGGCAACACGTGAGGAACACAAATGCGAACAAGCCTGAATGGTCCCCATTACTATATGCAAATGAAAACTCACACAACCCAAAGTCACTCGAACCCATACTGCCAGGAGCAATGCAACTGGTATTAACAGGACGCCTTAATCCGCTTGACCATCTACAGACTACAGTACTGTAGCAGTAGATGTGCATGGTAGTATGATTGAATGGACTGGCCTGTATAACTGAGTAAGTACCCTGTGTCGTATTGGTAATTTATGTCTCTAAGCCTGATTTCGAGGTCAGGTGATCCGCCCGCATTGTTTCTATCACACCTGCTAGGTGATTGAGAAGTGCGGAGTGTGTGAGAGTTCACCCCTATTTACCGTGTTGTCAGTCAAGGAGGGCTTGAACTGATTGTTGTGTGCAGACATGTGTGTGTGTGTTTGGACACACGGGAGACAAACCTGCTGTGTATTAAAGTAGGACCGGGATGGCCGTCCTAGAGTTTTATACTCCATACTGGTGGGGTTTTGTGTTGATTACATTTCTAGGTGAATTGTGTCATGTCCACATGTGTAGTCCATTGCAGGAGATGCAGACTTGGATGCAGTAGCATCCAAGTCTAGTAGCAGACTTTGCAGACTTGGGCTAGATTCATAGCACCACACACTAAACAAATTTGGTGTGGGGACCCGTGACCTATTTGTTAGATTCGCTCCAGAGATTTGCGAAGGTCAATGGCCTAGTGTAAGGGATTTAAAACGTTTTGAGGTCTCGGCATTTGCTCTCACCTTCATAATTTTTTCTATGGTCTCTAGAGTGGGGAATGATCTGCTTACTACACTTAGTATGTTAGCTAAGCAGTCCCTTCCTCAGGAGGCCCATCTAGACTTTCAGTTAAAGTTTACGGGAATGTACTAGAGAGATTATGAAAAATCTCACATCAGAAAACATCGAAAGAGAAACCCCACACCAGAAGGAAGAACTCTGCTAAGAGCGGTGATATCTGAAGCAAGACTAGTTTCTAGTTTTTAGAGAGGTAAAGGAGGCAAGATGGTTTGAGTGGTGTCAAACACTAAATGAACATAGTAGTCTTATGTAGTAGTAGTCAAACCCAAGATATGGGGTCAGATTAAAATCATATCATGTCGACCAGCCCGACAACAGGCATGTATTTCAAACATTGCAGGAGGCTGAGAGGCTTGCTTTTCAATTTTTCAGAAAGAGCGGCTTCATATCAGCTTCCTGCAATGGCCAGAAGGCAGGATGAATAATTAAAAAGGAGAGGTTGACAGCCATTCATGAGAGCATAGCTACAAATGACGAATGTGACTGTCCCTTCACCAAACAAGAACTAATCAGAGCCAAAAAATGTGGTAAGGACACTGCACCAGGTGCTGATAACATTACAAACTCAATGATCACACGCAGGTCCTGCTGGAGAACAAGGGATATTGGACGTTATCAATGCATCTTGGCAGCAAGGCAAACTACTGACCTCTTGGAAGAAAGCAGACATCTTTCCAATTCCTAGCCGAAAAAAACTGGCAATTACAGACATATTTCATTAACATCATTCATTAGTCAAACTTCAAAACGGATGGTCTTAAATAGGCTTCTGCGGAAGACTGGAGACCTGCGTAAACACATATATTTGGCTTCGCTAGACGAGTAGGTACTGCCAACTGCATAGCAACATTACTAGAAACAGCTAACTCAGGTCCGGCTATATTGCTCTTCCTTGATCTAGAAAAAGCATTCGAACCTGCAAGTCAGCTAGCAATTTTACACACTTTCGTTAAAAAAGGTTTAAAGGTAAATATGCTAGGATGGATTCAAGATTACCTAAGTCACAGGTATGCCAGAGTAAAGTTGCAAGGACAAGTGTCGGACTACCACTTGCATGAGAATGGGACTCCACAAGGAGTCCTCAGTCCTAGTCTTTTTAACATCCTTATGGAAAACCTCGTTACCATGAAAATTGCAGAAGGGATTAAATTGCTAAGCTATGCTGATGATATAGCATTAATCATTACAGGGCTTTCACTACTAAATAAAGCACAATGGGTGTTAGATAAAGTAAAATCTGAATGCAGCATTTTAGGGCTAAAAATATCTGCACAGAAGTCTAAGGAAATGAGACTAAATGGCAACACTCCAGTCAGGTACCTACGCATTCAAGAGACTAACCTTCAGTGGGTTAAACAATATCAATATCTCGGAGTGTGGATAGATTCTAAAATGACATTCAACAAGCAAATTCAAAGTTTGAAGGAGAAAGCAAAAACACGACTGAATATTATGAGAGAAATCTAGGGCCCCGTCTAGGAGCGGGACACAAAGTGTTAAGGTGTTAGATACACGCCGTTCGTTCCCTAGTTGAAAATGCAGCGCCTGCCCGACTCACTCTTTCTCCTCGTCAGTGGGCAAATTTGGAGGTTATTCAAAATGGTGCAATGCGAGTCATAATAGGGGCTCCCAGATGGACTAAAATACTGAACCTAAGGCTAGAAACCAAGCTAACGTCGATTGAAATAAGGGTAAAAGTGATTGCTTCATGCATGCTGACCAAGATATTGACTAGACCTAGAATCGGTTCACTTAAAATTATAATCACTGGAGCACTAACCCGGTACAGAAGAGCCCCCAATAGCAACAGGTGGATCCATTGTGCGATAAACACCATCAATATTTTGTGCACAATTTCGCACATATTATATCGCACAATATGTGTGCGATATAACAAACGCAATCACTGAGATGGGTGTCGACGAAATACATGCAGACTTTGTTATGCAAACCCCTTGGTAATCTCTGCCAGTAGACTTTAATATTATAGCTTTTGAAGGGAAAAAAAGAACCAGACTAATCCTCATCTGGTACGTATTATTGCACAGATGCATATAGAAGCAAACTTGGCATCTGACAACATCACATACTTCACAGATGAATCAGTAGACCAGCAGAGACAAGAAACCCTGGTTAAGGCAAGAATCTCTGTAAATAGTTGGAGACTCTCAAATGGGTGTTCAACTTTACAAACAGAGATGCTAGCCATTCAAAAGGCTTTGAAACATGCTCTTGCTGAACGCCGACAACATGTTATCATACATACAGACTCGAGAACTGCCATTGAAACCTTGTAACAAGAACACATACGTGATACCATCCACCTGATCACAAATGTCATATCATTAATGCAAACACTCAAACGTCAAGGCCGTCGGGTACTTATCAACTGGGTGACAAGTCATGTGGGAATAATAGGAATGCATGGAAAATAAGCTTACAAGGTTCCGGAAGATGAGAGGAAATGTCAACACTGTGGAGAAATGCCCGACAATCCACTGGAACATTATATAACACAGTGCACAGAGTTACAAACACATTAAGATTTCAACTTAGATTCAACAGTGCAGAAGAAGTTGTTAAACACATGGGGAAAAATCTTACTGAACCTAACATACGAGTCATAAACACTAATACTCCGTCCAAGTAAAACAGAAAAAAGCAACACTAAGTGGGCCATTAAGAGGCTTAGTGACCGTGCAAGAATATCCCTAAAAAACTGTCCCGTGTACCACCATCACCATTGGTACCACCATTGGTACCACCATTTGTTGTGTAAGGGAGCCGGTGGCTGAGCAGACAGAACACTGGACACGTGATCCTGTGGTCCCGGGCGCTGGCGAGAAACAATGGGCAGAGATTCTTTCACCCTGATGCCCCTGTTACCTAGCAGAAAATAGGTATCTTGGAGTTAGTCACCTGTCACGGACTGCTTCCTGGGGGTGAAGGCCTCGTCAAGGACTGGGCCGCGGGGACACTAAGCCCCGATATCATCTCAAGATAACTCAAGATAAGATCATTTGTGTCCCATACAACACCAACACTTATGTCCCCTGCTCTACCAACACCTGTGTCATTTGCTCTACCAACACCTGTGTCCCTTGCTCTACCAACACCTGTGTCATTTGCTCTACCAACACCTGTGTCATTTGCTCTACCAACACCTGTGTCATTTGCTCTACCAACACCTGTGTCATTTGCTCTACCAATACCTGTGTCATTTGCTCTACCAACACCTGTGTCATTTGCTCTACCAACACCTGTGTCATTTGCTCTACCAACACCTGTGTCATTTGCTCTACCAACACCTGTGTCATTTGCTCTACCAACACCTGTGTCATTTGCTCTACCAACACCTGTGTCATTTGCTCTACCAACACCTGTGTCCCTTGCTCTACCAACACCTGTGTCATTTGCTCTACCAACACCTGTGTCATTTGCTCTACCAACACCTGTGTCATTTGCTCTACCAACACCTGTGTCATTTGCTCTACCAATACCTGTGTCATTTGCTCTACCAACACCTGTGTCATTTGCTCTACCAACACCTGTGTCATTTGCTCTACCAACACCTGTGTCATTTGCTCTACCAACACCTGTGTCATTTGCTCTACCAACACCTGTGTCATTTGCTCTACCAACACCTGTGTCATTTGCTCTACCAACACCTGTGTCATTTGCTCTACCAACACCTGTGTCATTTGCTCTACCAACACCTGTGTCATTTGCTCTACCAACACCTGTGTCATTTGTTCTACCAACACCTGTGTCATTTGCTCTACCAACACCTGTGTCATTTGCTCTACCAACACCTGTGTCATTTGCTCTACCAACACCTGTGTCATTTGCTCTACCAACACCTGTGTCATTTGCTCTACCAACACCTGTGTCATTTGCTCTACCAACACCTGTGTGATTTGCTATACCAACACCTGTGTCATTTGCTATACCAACACCTGTGTCATTTGCTCTACCAACACCTGTGTCATTTGCTCTACCAACACCTGTGTCATTTGCTCTACCAACACCTGTGTCATTTGCTCTACCAACACCTGTGTCATTTGCTCTACTAACACCTGTGTCATTTGCTATACCAACACCTGTGTCATTTGCTCTACCAACACCTGTGTCATTTGCTCTACCAACACCTGTGTCATTTGCTCTACCAACACCTGTGTCATTTGCTCTACCAACACCTGTGTCATTTGCTCTACCAACACCTGTGTCATTTGCTATACCAACACCTGTGTCATTTGCTCTACCAACACCTGTGTCATTTGCTCTACCAACACCTGTGTCATTTGCTCTACCAACACCTGTGTCCTTTGCTCTATCAACACCTGTGTCCCCTGCTCTACCAACACCTGTGTCCCTTGCTCTATCAACACCTGTGTCCCTTGCTCTATCAACACCTGTTTCTCTTTCTCTATCAACACCTGTGTCCAATGTACCACCAATACAAGTGGCCCATGTACCACCAACACCTGTGTCCTCTGTACCACAAACACCTGTGTCCCATGCACCATCAACTCCTGTGTCCCATGCACCATCAACACGTGTGTCCTCTGTTCCACCAACACCTGTGTCGTCTGTTTCACCAACACCTGTGTCCAAAGCACCCCCAACACCTGTGTCCAAAGCACCCCAACACCTGTGTAACCCCTGCATTTTCAACACCTGTGCCCCTCCACCTCCAACACCTGTGTTCCATGCACAGCCAACACTTGTGTGCCAAACACACCAACACCTATGTCTGGTGCACCACCAACACCAGTGTCTCGTGCACCACAAACACCTGTGTCCCCTGCACCACCATCACCACTTGTGTTCAATGCACCATCAACACCGTGTTGCATGCACCACCATCACCTGTTTCATATGAACCACCAACACGTATGTCCTGTGCACCACCATCACCTGTATTTAATCCACCGCCTTCACCTTTGTCCCCTGTACCACTAACACCTGTGTCAACTCACACAAAAGACGCAAACATTTACAAACTCACATTCAACTATCTCATCTAACATATCCTTATCTTCTGCAAACATACCTATTTCACACATACTCTCATACAAAAACTCAGACACATGTATGAAAATCACATGTACAAAACTCATACTGTTATGATCCCAAGTAGCTGAAAAACGAGTCTACCTTGAGAGTTATTCTGCAACACCTGACCAAATAAGAGGTCAAAGACACAGAGACATGTGAATGTATATAGTAAACATTCGATTAGATTTGGCAAACAGTTAAATGCATGGGCAGTGAATGAATGTGTACATAAATGACTTGACATGAGATGTCGAAAGTTTGCGAGGAAGGCATGAGGCTCGTGTCAGGGGTCTTGACCTAACTCGAGTAACAGCCATCGTGGAAGCAGGATACAGTGTTTTTAAGCTCCTGATAGCAGAGGAAGATTCTCTGATTACGTGCTCCGTCAAGAGGAGAATTAGTCAGTTGTTCTTGTATGAACCCTGGGGATGACTTAGTGCTCGAGTCAGGAAAGAGAGAAGCCCAGTAGAGAAGTTTAAATACCGATTTTGTAAGCTGAGGAGCGCGCCAACGTCTGAAGCTGGGGCCTGGGCGCGCCCTTGTACAACTTACTCTGTGGTAAGCCATTTTTAACTAGTTAACAGTGATTGCCTGTAGTTGGTCGTGTGCCCGGCGACTGTACCAAGTGTCTATTGATATATTAGGCATGTTTTGATGAAGCAAAAAGCCAAAATAAGAGAGTATAGATGGAGGAATGTCCTGGAGGGCGGAGCGACATCCATCCAGTCCGACCGCTGGTGGGCTCCCAGGGAGTGCAGAAAATGGACCAGCCCAAACGTGGGGGAGTCACCTCACAGCATATAGAAAGCAGAGAGATGTCAAGTGAAACATTTATTGTGATTCATTTCAGTTATGTGTTTATAGGGAAACATTTTTACTGGCGTGTCGATGGGTTACAGGTTTGTCTGGGGAAAGAGATGATGCTGCACAATAGAACAAGGTAAGGTCACTGCTCGAGGAGAAGGGGGTAGTAAACCAGGCGGCCTTGGAAGGGTTTGAAATTACGAGAGATGAGGTCAAGAGAGACCTCTTGGATTCGGATGTGAGAAATGCTGTTGGTCCAGATGGGATCTCACCATGGGTATTGAAAGAGTGTGCAGAGGCACTTTGCTTGCCACTCTCCATAGTGTATAATAGGTCATTGGAGGCACGAGACCTACCAGAAATATGGGAGATGGCTAATGTGGTCCCAATATACAAAAAGGGTGACAGACAAGAGGCACTGAACTACAGGCCAGTGTCTTTGACTTGTGTACCATGCCATGTGATGGAGAAGATCGTGAGAAAAAACCTGGTAGCACATCTGGAGAGAAGGGACTTCGTGACAAATCGCCAACATGGGTTCAGGGAGGGTAAATCTTGCCTTACAGGCTAAATAGAATTCTATGATCAGGTGACAAAGATTAAGCAAGAAAGAGAAGGCTGGGTGGACTGCTTTTTCTTGAATTTTCGGAGAAACTTTGACACAATATCCCATAAGAGGTTGGTACATAAGCTGGAGGGACAGGCATGAGTGACTGGTAAGGTGCTCCAGTGGGTAAGGGAGTACCTAAGCAATAGGAAGCAGAGAGTTACAGTGAGGGGTGAGACCTCAGATTGGTGTGAAGTCACCAATGGAGTCCCACAGGGCTCTGTACTCGGTTCTATCCTGTTTTTGATATACGTAAATGATCTCCCAGAGGGTATAGACTCATTCCTCTCAGCTTACGATGCCAAAATTATGAGAAGGATTAAGACAGAGGAGGACTGCTTGAGGCTTCAAGAAGACCTAGACAAATGAAGGAATTGTCGAACAAATGGTAGTTAGAGTTTAACCCAAGCAAATGTAATGTAATGACGATAGGTGTAGGGAGCAGGAGACCAGATACAAGGTATCATTTGGGAGATGAAATTCTTCAAGGGTCAGATAGAGAGAAAGTCTTGGGGGTTGATTTCACGCCAGACCTATCCCCTGCAGCCCATATCAAGAGGATAACATCAACGGCATATGCCAGGCTGGCCAACATAAGAATGGCATTTAGAAACTTGTGTAAGGAATCATTCAGAACTTTGTATACCACATATGTCAGACCAACCCTGGAGTATGAAGCTCCAGCATGGAGTCCATATCTAGTCAAGGATTAGACTAAACTGGAGAAGGTTCAAAGGTTTGCCATCAGACTAGTACCCGAGCTGAGAGGAATGTCCAACGAGGAGAGACTACGGGAGTTAAACCTCTCGTCGTTGGAATACAGAAGAGTTAGGGGGGACATGATCACCACATATAAGATTCTGAAAGGAATTGATAGGGTATATAACGAAATGCTATTTAAAAAAAGGGGCACACGCTTTAATTAAGGGACACAGGTGGAAATTGAGTGGCCGAATGAGCCACAGAGATATTAGAAAGAACATTTTTAGTGTCAGAGTATTTGACAAATGGAATGCATTAGGCAGTGATGTGGTGGAGGCTGACTCCATACACAGTTTCATGTGTAGATATGATAGAACCCAGTAGGCTCAGGAACCTGTACACAAGTTGATTGAGAGTTGAGAGGCGGGACCGAAGATCCAGAGCTCAACCTTCGCAAGCACAAATAGGTGAGTGCACACACACATAGGACGCAGCCCGTAGCAGCTGTCTAACTTCCAGGTACCTAATTACTGCTGGTAACAGATGCATCAGGGTGAAGGAAACTGCCCATTTGTTTTTCCGGCAGTGCTGGGGGATCGATCCCTAGGTCCACGAGTCTAGAGCGCTGTCCACTCAGCCAACACCCAAGGTTGCTGCCCCAAGGTTGTGTGTGTGTGTGTGTGTGTGTGTGTGTGTGTGTGTGTGTGTGTGTGTGTGTGTGTGTGTGTGTGTGTGTGTGTGTGTACCCACCTATTTGTACTCACCTATTTGTGCTTGCGGGGATTGAGCTTTGGCTCTTTGGTCCCGCCTCTCAACTGTCAATCTACTGATGTACAGATTCCTGAGCCTACTGGGCTCTATCATATCTACATTTAAAACTGTGTATGGAGTCAGCCTCCACCACATCACTGCCTAATGCATTCCATCCGTTAACTACTCTGACACTGAAAAAGTTCCTTCTAACGTCTCTGTGGCTCATGTGGGTACTCAGTTTCCACCTGTGTCCCCTTGTTCGCGTCCCACCAGTGTTGAATAGTTCATCCTTGTTTACCCGGTCGATTCCTCTGAGGATTTTGTAGGTTGTGATCATGTCTCCCCTTACTCTTCTGTCTTCCAGTGTCGTAAGGTGCATTTCCCGCAGCCTTTCCTCGTAACTCATGCCTCTTAGTTCTGGGACTAGTCTAGTGGCATACCTTTGGATTTTTTCCAGCTTCGTCTTGTGCTTGACAAGGTACGGGCTCCATGCTGGGGCCGCATACTCCAGGATTGGTCTTACATGTGTGGTGTACAAGATTCTGAATGATTCCTTACACAGGTTCCTGAACGCTGTTCTGATGTTAGCCAGCCTCGCATATGCCGCAGACGTTATTCTTTTTATGTGGGCTTCAGGAGACAGGTTTGGTGTGATATCAACTCCTAGATCTTTCTCTCTGTTCGTTTCATTAAGTACTTCACCTCCTATTCTGTATCCTGTGTCTGGCCTCCTATTTCCACTGCCTAGTTTCATTACTTTGCATTTACTCTTGTTGAACTTCAACAGCCATTTGTTAGACCATTCACTCAGTCTGTCTAGGTCATGTTGTAGCCTCCTACTATCGTCCTCAGTTTCAATCCTCCTCATAATTTTTGCATCATCGGCAAACATTGAGAGAAACGATTCTATACCCTCTGGGAGATCATTTACATATATCAGAAACAGTATAGGTCCAAGGACTGACCCCTGCGGGACTCCACTCGTAACGTCT